AAACATCAACAATACCATTGAAGCCTAAATAAATGAATTATGATTTACATGTATAAAATCTATTTTGCCACATATCAACTTTGAGTTTTTAGGGCAAAAAAAAAAAAAAAAAAAACGTTGAGTTTTTAGGCTTCTATCTTATCCAAGCCATCCCTTTGTATATTTGGCTCTTCAATCTCTCTTTTGGCTTGTTATGTTTCTCAATGAAGAAAATGATGTTTTTCCATGTTTAATGCAAAGAGCCCAAAGCACACTCAAATTTTGAATGTGTGTGACACTATTGTGGGGAAGTTTATCTTGATTTGCCACATGAATTATAGGTCCTCACAATATTCCATGCTATATATTTGCTCACAATATTGTTAAATACTACCATATAAAGTATCCGAGAGAAATTTCCAGTATATATATGCTTTTGAATTTTAAAATCAACAAAATAGAACATGCTCATTTTATCATATATGATGGTTGAAAAATCCTACTCTTGACTTCTGGTAAATATTCTTTGTTTGAATTCCAGACAATAATGTGTGTATACATTTCTCTACTTATCCAAGTTAAATCCATGTTAGATTTTTCTTGTTGAAATAGATATTATTTTTGCTTCTTTTTTTTTTTTGGGTATGTATTTTTGCAATATTTACCCCTATAGGTATCATATTTTTTCAATTTTTCTGAGAATATAATTGCTCTATGTATACTATCTATGTTTGGCTATAAGTTTGGAGAAAGAAATTTTTTGATTAGTCAGAGTTTCACTTAATGAATGGAACAAGTTCTTTGCTTGACATGGGTAATATTACACCTGTGATTACTGATTAGGGAATGGCTATAACTTAATTATTTTTGCTTGTTTTTGTGGTTAAAGTTTTGATTGGCATGCATTTCGATAATTTTAAAATGTTGATTTTTTTAAAGGTCTCTCTTGAAGAATGTCTTGCAAAGTTTCTATAAAAACTGGTGGACTGAAAGCACTTCAAATTATTCCATTGAAGAATATTTAGCAGTCAGCTCTTCAGCTACAATCCACATGAAAGAGTTCTGCACTCGCCAGGCAAAGGGACAAGAGTCACTTGCTCAGCGGGAACACCACCCAGGAGTTTAAAGTTTGAACCCAGCCTTCATCTCTCCTTTTCCCTCCCTATATTAGGTATAATATATGTATATTTGCCCCTTTTTATTTTTATTTTTTTGGGGTGTACAATGGACAGTGTTTTTATCCGCTGATCAAATTAAAGGCTTGAGGCCTACAAACACCTGGAAGTCATTTGTTGCATAACTTCCACAGGTGGTTCTTCAAAATAATGCTAACTCTTACCCAAGTGGTGGAGCTTTGACACCATCGTATCAGCACAAGTGTTGGCTTCTCGAAATACATGTTTAAGTTGGCAATGCCAATGCTGTTGAGAAGATTCCGACATTTGCTGATCAAGTTTCCATGAGGATCAAGCCTAGTTGCACCCTGGTTGTAAACTTTTGCACTGCTAACAATGAATCTGTTTCTATTATAATATTTGCATGTTTTCAATTCACAGGAAAGAATTGAAGGCACTGTTGATTTCATAATTGCTAAAAGATTTTTGTATATATGTCCATTGCTTTTATCTGAACAGGTGAATTGCAGACAGTGTAGTGATTTTGTTGAAGCCTGGAGATTGAAGAAATGCTAACTTTACATGAATGCATTATTGTTCTTTTGGGGGGCTGAGGAAGATGACTAGTATTGTAGTGTGAAGCTAGGATATTGGTGTTGAGTATAATGGCATTAATCTCCACAATGGCCATATGCAAGATTTTATGCTGTGAAAAACCCTGAGAACATTCATGTCTTTCGAGCTTTGAAATCTAAAGCCAGATGAGGTCATGTAGTCCTGCTTGCATCCATTGACGTCAAATATCTTCTTTTTATTCAACCCCTGCGTCTTTCACAGTCCCCTTGTGAGTATTTTTCGGCAATTTTGGAAACATTTTGGTTGCCGACAGTAGCAAATGGACTTTGCAAAATTTAATTTAATTTAAAAATCTGACATAACTCACGTGCTATGAGTTAGATCATGATTTCAAAGTATCAATATAGAATCCAATATAACAAATTACATAAATTTAATTGAGTTAAATTTAATTGAGTTGAATCAAGAGTGAGTAAAATCATTTCAAAATAATCTAATTAAAATTTTTTAATTTAAAATTTTGATTAATTTTATTTTTGAATTTAATTTTTAAATATAAAATTAAATTAAATATTATTTATTAAATTATTAGAATTAATATTAATTTAACAAAAAAATTTGATTAAACAATAAATTAATATTAAAATTTTAAAAGAAATTAGAGAAAATATTGAAAATTTTTAATGTTAATTTTAATTTTTAAGAAGTAGAGTAATTCAACTCAAATTTCAAACTCATGT